CAATGGAATCAAATAGAAGACCCTGAAATAAACCTACACACTTATAGACACCTGATTTTTGACAAAGAAGCCAAAATCATACAATGGAAAAAACATAGCATCTTCAACAAATGGTGCTGGTCTAACTGGATGTCTACAGGTAGAAAATGCAAATAGATCCATACTTACAACCCTGCACAAAACTAAAGTCCAAGTGGATCAAAGACCTCAACATAAAACCAGACATATTAAATCGGTTAGAAGAAAAAGTGGGGAAGAGCCTTGAACTCATTGGCACAGGAGACAACTTCCTGAACAGAATACCAACAGCACAGGCTCTAAGATCAACAATCAGTAAATGGGACCTCATGAAACTGAAAATCTTCTATAAAGCAAAGGACACTGTCGTCAGAATAAAACGACTGCCTACAGATTGGGAAAGGATCTTCACCAACCTTATATCTGAGAGAGGTCTAATATCCAGAACTCAAGAGGTTAAACAGCAACAAACCAAGTAATCCAATTAAAAAATGGGGTACAGAGCTAAACAGAGATTTCTTAATAGAGAAATATCAAATGGCAGAGAAACACCTAAAGAAATGTTTAACATCCTTAGTCATCAGGGAAATGCAAATTAAAACGACTCTGAGATTTCACCTTACACACATCAGAATGGCTAAAATCAAAACTCAAGTGACAATACATGCTGGAGAGGATGTAGAGAAAGGGGAACCCTCCTCCATTGCTGGTTGGAATGTAAATTTGTACAACCACTTTGGAAATCAATCTGGTGCTTTCTCAGATAATTAGGAATAGTGCTATATCACTACTAGGCATATATCATATATCCAAAAGATGCTCAAGTATACTACAAGGACATTTGCTCAACCATGTTTGTAGCAGCTATATTCGTAATATCCAGAACCTGGAAACAACCCAGACGCCCCTCAGTTGAGGAATAGATGCGGAAATTGTGGTACATCTACACAATGGAATACTACTCATAAAAAAAAAAGCAAGGAAATCATGAAATTTGCAGCAAATGGAGGGAACTGGAAAAGATCATCTTGAGTGAGGTATCTCAGAGGCAGAAAGACACACAGGGTATATACTCACTCATAAGTGGATATTAGACATATAATAAAGAATAAACCTACTAAAATCTGTACACCTGAAAAAACTAATCAAGAAGGAGGACTCTGGCTAAGATGCTCAATTCCCATTCAGAAAGGCAAAGAGGATGGACATCAGAAGAGGGGGAAAACATGAAACAGGACAGAAGCCTACCACAGATGGCCTCTGAAAGGCTCTACCCTGAGGGTATCAAAGAAGATGCTAAGACTTATAGCCAAACTTTGGGCAGAATACAGGGAATCTTATGAAAGAAGTGGGAAATAGTAAGACCTGGAGGGAATAGGAGCTCCACAAGGAGCAACAGAACCAAAAAATCCGGGCCCAGGGGTCTGTTCTGACACTGATACTCCAACCAAGGACCATTCATGGAGATAACCTAGAACCCTGAACAGATGTAGCCCTTGGCAGTTCAGTGTCCAAGTGAGCTCCATAATAATGGGAAAAGGGACTGTCTCTAACAGGAACTGATTGGCATGCTCTTTGATCACCTCCCCCAGAGGGAGGAGCAGCCTTACCAGGCTACCGAGGAAGCCAATGCAGGCACTCCCGAGGAGACCTGATAGAATAGGATCAGAAGAAAGGGAGGAAGACTTTCCCTATCAGTGGACTGGGAGAGGGGCATGGGTGGAGAAGGAGGAGGGAGGGTGGAATTGGGAGGGGGAGAAGGGAAGTAGCTACAGGAGGGATACAAAGTGAATAAACTGTACTTAATAAAAAATAAAAATAAAATAAATAAAATAAAATAATTTTCACTTATTCACTTCAAGAACAACACACACACATATGATGTATTACAGTGTAACATAAATTTTTGAATTATATGTGCTATTATCTTTTCCTTGCTTTGAATTATGAATTATTTGTTTCTAAGTATTTTCTAAAGGATATTTAACTTCATAGGTGAATTTATAGCTAATATTATGTAACCTGTGTAACTGGAAGTTTATTATATATTTAAAAAAATAAAATCTAAGATAACAACCTTAAAATGCAATTATATTTTGATTTCAGTAAATTTTAGACTCATGACTTGCTTTTGATTATTTTTATGTCACAAGTTAAGTAGTAAATACATAACAACAAAATTCTCAACTGTATTGAAAAATGCCTCTTCCTTCCTTGTTGGACTAGAATAGCAATAGTGCTTAGCTTCCTAATTTATCTAAAGCTAAGTCCCTATAAAGTAGTAAGTAAAAGCAGTGCCTGCTTTCTTAAGGATAAAAATAGATTAAGCCCAAGAATATTTAGTCTTTAAGTACCTATACAGCAAAGTGGTTTTAAATTTAATTTTGTGTACATTTTTCTTTCAAAGGAATGCTCCAAAACATGAAGACCCTTTGCCTATACCAAATCATTTTTTTATTCTGAAATGGTAAAGATTTATATAAATAAATTTTTGCTAGACTTAAGTATAATGTTGCTTTTCTATATAATGATACTCAAGTACTCCACTGTTAAAAATACCCGAACATCTCCACATTTATTAAACATATTATTTAGTGCCTATCCAGTGCCATGAATCAAGAGAAAAAACATAAAAATGGAAAGTCAAACTGCCATAGTTGGTACATGAAATGGCCTTGTATTCTAATGAGAATTACTGGAATGCATAAATTCAGCAAAACTGCAGGATATGATATTAACATATAAACTCAGCATCGTTTCTACATGGCAATAATATATTATCTGAAGAAGAAAGTAAGAAAGCAAGTTAGTTTATTACAGTTATATTTTGACAATTTTAAAGGAATTTTTCTGCAACTATTACAGAGCTTGGGAAGTTATCATTCCTTTTTAATTAATTAATTAAGTAATTATTATATATTTTAATTAATTATATATATTAATTAATTAATTATAATTTATTCACTTTGTATCCCCACTGTAGCCCCCTCCCTTGACTCCTCCTAGGCCTGCCCACCCTCTCTCTACTCTCCCTATGCCCCTCCCCATCAGGGAGTGGTGATCAAAGAGCTGGCCACAGAGTTCATGTCGGAGATAGCCCCTGCCCATTACTAGGGAACCCACTTGGAATCTGAGCTGCTATGGGCTTCCTCTGGGCAGTGGGTCTAGGTCCTCACCCTGCATGGTCCTTGGTTGGAGTATTAGTCTCTGCAGGTCCCCCAGGCTCAGGTTTTTTGGCTCTGTTGGTCTCCTTGTGGAGTTCCATATTGAATCACATATTGAAGCACTTAAAGAAATCCTCAACATCCTTAGTCATTCCGGAAATGCAAATCAAAACCACCCTGAGATTTCACCTCACACCCATCAGAATGACTAAGATCAAAATCTCAAGGGACAACACATCCTGGTGAGGATGTGGAGAAAGGGGAACCCTCCTCCATTGTTGGTGGGGATGTAAACTTGTACAACAACTTTGGAAATCAATCAAGTGCTTTCTCAGAAAATTAGGAACAGCACTACCTCATGACCCAGCTATACCACTCCTGGGCATATACCCAGAAGTCATTATTCTTTTTTATTTTAATTTTTTATATTAGTTTATTCACATTGTATCCCAGCTGTAGTCCCTTCCCTCATTCCCTCCCAATCCCACCCTCTCTCTCTCATCTCCTCCCATGCCCCTTTCCAAGTCCACTAATAGGGGAGGCCCACCTCCCCCTCCATCTGACCCTAGCCTATCAGGTCTCATCAGGACTGGCTGCATTGTCTTCCTCTGTGGCCTGGTAAGGCTGCTCCCCTCTCAGGGGAAAGTGATCAAAGAGCCAGCCACTGAGTTCATGTCAGAGGTAGTCCCTGTTCCCCTTACTAGAGTACCCAATTGGACACTGAACTGCCATGGGCTACATCTGTGAGGAGTTCTAGCTTATCTCTAAGCATGGTCCTTGGTTGGAGTATCAGTATCAGAAAAGACCACTGGGCCCCAGATTTCTTGATTCTGTTGCTCCTTGTGGCGCTCCTATTCTCTCTAGGTCTTTCTATCTCCCCTTTTTCATAAGATTCCCTGCACTCTTGCCAAAGTTTGGCTATAAGTCTCAGCATCTGCTTTGATGCCCTATTGGGTAGTTTTTCAGAGGCCCTCTGTGGTAGGCTCCTGTCCTGTTCCCTGTTTTCTTCCTCTTCTGATGTCCATCTTGTTTGCTTCTGAATGAAGATTGAGCATTTTAGCCAGTCGTCCTTCTTGCTTGCCCTCTTTAGGTGTACAGATTTTACTATGTTTATCCTATATTATATGTCTAATATTCACTTATAAGTGAGTATACACCATGTGTGTCTTTCTGCTGGGAACCCCACTCAAGGCTGATCTTTTCTAGATCCCAGCATTTGCCTGCAAATTTCATGATTTTCTTGTTTTTAATTGTTGAGTAGTATTCCATTGTGAAAATGTACCACAATTTCTGTATCCATTCCTCAACTGAGGGGCATCTGGGTTATTTCCAGGTGGTGGCTATAATGAAGCTGCTACAAACATGGTTGAGCAAATGTCCTTGTTGTATACTTGAGCATATTTTGGATATATGCCTAGGAGTGGCATAGCTGGATCTTGAGGAAGCACTATTCCTAATTATCTGAGAAAGTGCCAGATTGATTCATTCTTAAATTGAGTAACTGTCACCGGTTTATAAAACCCATGCCTATGGGTGTCACTCTCTTGAGTCTTGTTACTTCACTATTTTAGATTAATTCTCATCAGAGGTAATATATAATCATACTGAAGCAAAAATTACAGGAGAAACCATCTCCAGAATTAAACAAAAATTGGCATTTATGTGAATATGAAGCAAAGTTAAAGATGCCTAACTTGTAGTGCTCCATCTCATGTTGACTCAATACTATCTTTTCTATATTAATAAGAAATTAAATAAAACTGATCAGAGTAAAATTGAATAGATTTATAATTATGAAAATTATTTATTTTTTGTAGACAAAATTAACACCAGATAGCAAAATAAATCATTTTCCAAATTACAGACATAAATAAAATAAGCAAGTTAATATACAACTTAGTTAAATATTAATAAGGGCAGTCTTTCCCAACTATTATTTAAAAGGAAATATAAGGATCTGGTTCTTCTCTACAGTCTAAACAATTAGATAGGTTAATACACAAAACAAACAGCTTATATAAAAACTGATAATAATTCATGTACATCATATATTATACCTTTTTAAGTTTACTGAATTCAAATGATCATATGTTTAAAAGTAAGAACTGGATCATTTAATCAAATTTACTTGTGATCATTGCAATTCCAGCTGTGTCAGTCAGACAACAAAGGTAGCCATAAAAACAGCTGGGGTTGGGAGGGGGTTGGCTCTGAAGGCATTCCTCTAACAATCATTAGCAATAATTATGAACACAGCCATGTGGTAGTACCTGTGTGGCATTGGCTCCTGGACCTAAAGATATAAGTGGCTGAAAATGCTCAGGTTCTTTAAAAATAGTGGAGTGCCCTAGAATGACCCTCAGGTACAATATAAATCCCCTTAGCTTACTCATAATAAGTAGAAAAATGTAAATGGTGGTTGTACTGTACAGCATATGGGATGGAAACACCCTGAAAATGCTTGTTATATACAAATGGATTTTTTTTCCCCACTATTTTGATCATTAGTTTGTTGACTGTTTGGTTGTAGAAACCAGAAGGGTTAACTATGGTTATTTATATAATTATCAACTAGTTAGTTTTAAGAGAGATATTTCAGTCACTGGTTAGACAGCAATTCTTTAACAATAAAAAGAGACTGTCTAATTTTAAATTCTGACTGTGTGCTATTGATGGGATGGAGATGGACTGGAAACATCAGGAGCTGGAGTGAGCTGTTTGCAACTCTTACTGAGATTTGCTTGGCCTTATTTCTGTAGACTTTTTCTTAATCTCAGAACTGTTTAACTTTTGGTCATGGGGGGCTTAAATATAAAAATGCAACATAAGGAATAAAGAAAACAACATATGCTATATAATACTAGGTACTAATAATTCATCTTTAATGTTGTAGCAAAGAAAAAATATACAGGTTATACTTCTGCTTATTCCAATGGTGATACTTGGTAATATTAAAATATTATTATATTAATTTATTCTTATAATTTATCCTGGAAAAATAAGAATATTCTCATAATTTTCTATCGCCTAATAATTCTCTAATAAATAGAAATTTTTAATTTTATGAGTAAGGTTAGTATAACTCTTCAAAAAGTTTTTATTCCAAAAGTATTATTTTAAAAATAAGTTTTAACAAATTTCTGTGTGTACATGTTTGCAAAAATTCAGGAGTAAGAGGGAGACTGACTGACATGGGGTGGGTGTCTCCATGTAAACCACAAGGTTGTCAGAGGGCAACCTTGTTATTTGATCTTTGCCGCTCACTGTTTTTGAGACAGGATCTCATTTGCTGCTGTGTACAGCAGACCAGCTAGCTCAAAAAATTGTGGGTTCTTTCCTGTCTACCGTGTCGCTCACTGGAAGAACAGTGAGATAGAATGTGTACACCACCAAGCTCAGGCTTATGTGGCCTCTGGTTGTGAGACTCAGATCCTCATGCATACACAGCAAGCACTTTACTCATTTATCAGCCTCCCTTGCCCTAAAAACCTTCCCTCTCTGCTGTGTATTTTAAGATGAATTCCAAAACTAATTTGTTTCTGAATGCCTTTATGCTCGAGATTAGCATGCACTATTTATTAGCATTACTCAACTGATTCTCTCAGTAGAATGAAGAAATAACAGTTGTGTAGAATTACGCAGACTAGCTGTTTTTTCTATTATAATTATATTGAATTCTCTCGATTTTTTTATTCTCACTTTTAAAATAATTTATTTTTAGCATGTATGTTACCAATTTGTAACCACATGACAGCTATGGATCACTAACATTTTCTTTTTAAATCCAACAGCTACTATAAAAGTATAAGACTCATATAAGGACATAACTCAAAAACATGGTGTTACTTTAACAATAATTGTCTATCTCTAGTTTTGAAATGATAAGTAAATTTTCTATATTATGGTAAAATTAAATTAAAATATTATAAAAAATTTGAGTACTAACATTATCCTTTTTTAGTTTAGTAGCCTCTGGTGAACATTTAATTTTAAGATATTAAAAAATAAATAAATAAAAGAAAGACCTAGAAAGACTGACAAGGTGCCCTAAAGACAGAGTACTGAACACAACAAACCTTTTTTTTCTTGTTTTTTTTTTTAATTTATTTACTTTTTTATTAATTACAGTTTATTCACTTTGTATCCCAACTTTAGCCCCCTCCCTCATCTCCTCTCAACCTTACCCTCCCTCTTCTCCACCTATGCCCCTCCCCCAGTCCACTGATAGGGGAGGTCCTCCTCCCCTTCCATCTGATCCTAGTCTATCACAACAAACTTTTTGACCACTGAGAAACAATGGTTTTCCTCACAGGTGAGAAACAGTCATTAGCATTTTCTAAACTCCATCCTATTGTTTCTAGTCTTTAATTAAGCAGAGCAAACCAGGGGCATTAGGCATGAAAAAGCATTCAGTGACACAGGCACCTGAGGCTTCAAATGATGGCACTAATGGATGCTCAATAGAACATGGCTAAGAGTTAAAACAGAAAAATATAACAATATAACAAAATACCCTGTCACTTACAAGGTTGTGCTCACAAGAAACTTGCAAAGTGAATTTGATCACTAGGGGAGGACAGCCAGAACCTGAATACTAACTTCAGGGTCACTGAAGAGTTCAGAAATGAAGCTCATCCACCTACTTTCCTTTGGCTCTATACTTTTGTTGCCAGGTGTGCCCAACACATACACACACTTCTATGACTTTGGACCTTGAATACAAGTACAGCTTACATGTATGTTGGCTGATTTATGTAACACAAGCATTTTCTTACTGTAAACTAAAAAACAAAACAAAACAACAAAAACCTAAAAGGCCATCCCATTAAAATTTCAATTACAGTCAGAAATTCAGAAATCTATTGGGAACATTAGAAATGTCACTGACACAGTCTTTCTTGTCAAATATTTTCTCTGTAAGGTTATTATCCATTGTCGGACAAGTAATACCATCTTAAAAGTAAAAATCTGAAATAATTGATGAAGGTTACAGTAGCAAGTGCACATTGATTTTGACATTTTTCTTTCCATAACTTGAAGCACAGAGTGTGTACTGACAGTAGGTTATTTGATAAATAAACTATAATGGATACATTATGAAGCAGGCAGCTGTTGATCCAATGCATACGTCATTCTTTCCTTACTGTATTTCTCAGACCACTTTTGAGTTAGTTCTAGATAAAGACTTGGCTTATGAGGCCGGTAATCCAGGTATACTGTGTTAGCGGTTCTTTTGGGGACAGCCTTTTCAATTTGAGTTCCTTCATGCCACTCATTGAAAGAGGTGATGGAAATTAAATTGGGGTGGGTCTGGAGGGCAGCACTTAGAGCAACTTCATAGTACTTCCCATTGATGCGGTTCCTAGTATTCTGAGTGTTCCATGGACGGATGCTTGTGTCTATGTATCCGGGGCCTACACTTGGGATAAATATCAAGTTGTTCTGATCACAGAATGACTTCAGTTTAGCCCAATTCTGATGTGATGAGCCATATGTAAAGCCATTTGTAGCAAAATATGTGTAAATTCCATCAAAACCACTTTGAAGAATATCATGTTTATGCTTTTCTTCTACTAGAAGTGCAATAAACAATCCATCATAAGGAGAACTGCGAATACTCTGAGATCCTGAGGGTGTTAACAGATTGGCCCACGTTTTAGGCTTTGTGATATATGAATCATATACATAAAACAGAGGCAGAGATTGTCCGGTCCTTGTCTTGTATCTATAAAAGGCTGGATGGCTTCCATATCTATAATAAAGACACACTGAAAAGTGAGATGAAACTCATAGAATGTATCACAATAAAACTATGCATCAAAAATGAAAATGAGTCTTGAAGCTTGAGCACACTGTTCCCAATCCTCAGTACTGTAAACATAGTTTTAATTTCATACATTATGAGACACTGAGTATACTACCAAACAGGAGGTTAATTATCTCAGGCCAAAGCTAACAAATGGTGACTAAAGCCATAAAAAGTCTATTATGATCTTCATAACAGAGAAAACTGGTTTATCTTATCAGTGACAGGTATCCATTTGTTGCTGAAACCTCCGAGAATCCTATCAGTAAAATACTTTGCCAGAATGAAACTAATTACAAAATTCTTTAATCATTCTAGATACAAATGATGATAGATATGCAAACATTGCTGTGTTCACATTTCATCTGAACCTTCTTTTATTTTTTTTTTAATTTTCTTGTTTCTTTATTTTTCAATTTTCCTGGACAGTGTTTTCTAATTAAACAAAATCACGGTTTATCATGGTAGTACAAATAAAAACACACAGTTAGTTTAAAGTAGTCACCCTAATAAGTAATTGCCCAGTCCCAAACTCTGTAGAATGCCTAGTCTGAAGCAATGGAGGTTAGCTTAGCAATGCCGGTTGTGGTGGCGCACACTGGTAGGATTTGCTGAACCTTCTTTTAAAAGATAAAATGTATATTCATGAGATTTTAAATACAAAAATACAAAATGAGTATAAATGGAAATCATAAGTAGTCTTAAAAGCATATAAAAATAGTGAAGGTAGCAACCTTTATTCACACAAAAAGTGATCTATAAGAAACCTGAAAATGTTCTTCAGTTTACTTGTGGTAAAATTATCGAACATGATAGATCATAAACCAACTCCCAGGTAGCATTTAAATGTACTCTAACAGTAATTATCAGAAGACCTTATAGTGTAACTATGAACACTGAAGAAACTCACTTGTCTATAATATACTTGACATTTTTAAGCATGTTTTGATCATCTCGATTGCTATATGGCTCTATGTGAAAAGTGACCTAAAAAGGAAAAAAAAAACAATTAAAGAAAGCATTATCTATGACCGCATATTTTACATAGTTAATAAGCTGCCAATTCACAACATTAAAGCAAATATTTATTGTACCCAGTGGTTATCAAATATTTCTTAGTAGATTACACTTACTGAGAGTTTCCACTACTAAATAAAGATAAAGCAATTCATCTGAATGAATTCATTTAACCTCCATTACTGTATTGGGTAGCCACTGACTCTATTTGCTCAACAAAAAAGAAGCTTCCAGAAGTCTATTAAGTTGCTAAGTTTGTTTGTTTGCTCCCAGTTTGTTTGTTTGAAACAATGTGGAGTGCCTGACTGAAAGCTTTTCTAGGAGGGTAGTTTTCATGAAATAGATTTCAAAAGTCTATACTCATTATAAGACACAAGAATATACTGTGTATTCAGACAAAGCTTTCTTAAAAAAAAAAAAAAGCAGAAAACAAAACAAAACAAAATGAAACAAAAACCTTCAGCAAAGTGGCTAGATACAAAATTAACTCAAAAAAAAAAAAAATCAGAAGCCCTCCTGTATACCAAAGACAAAAGGGCCGAGAAAGAAATTAGGGAAACAACACCCTTCACAATAGCCACTAATAACATAAAGTACCTTGGTGTGACTCTAACCAAGCAAGTGAAAGACCTGTTCGAAAAAAAACCTTCAAGTCTCTGAAGAAAAACATTGAAGAAGATATCAGAAGATGGAAAGATCTCCCATGCTCATGGACTGGTAGAATTAACATTGTGAAAATGGCCATCCTGCCAAAAGCAATCTACAGATTCAATGCAATTCCCACCAAAATGCCAACACAATTCTTTACAGACCTTGAAAAAAAAATTCTCAACTTCATATGGAAAAACAAAAAACCCAGAATTGCCAAAACGATCCTGTACAACAACAGATCATCTGGAGGTATCTCCATCCTGGTCTCAAGCTGTACTACAGAGCAATAGCAATAAAAACTGCATGATATTGGCATAGAAACAGAATTGTGGATCAATGGAACTGAATAGAGTCCCAGAAATAAACCCACATACCTATGGATACTTGATTTTTGACAAAGAAGCCAAAACCATAAAAAGGAAAAAATACAGCATCTTCAACAAATGGTGCTGGTCCAACTGGATGTCTACATGCAGAAAAATGCAAATATATCCATATTTATCACCCTGCACAAAACTAAAGTCCAAGTGGATCAAAGACCTCAACATAAAACCAGACACACTAAATCAGTTAGAAGAAAAAGTGGAGAAGACCCTGAACTCACTGGCATAGGTGACAACTTCCTGAACAGAACACCAACAATAGAGGAATATGGAATGGCAGAGATACACTTAAGGAAATGCTCAACATCCTTAACCATCAGGCAAATGCAAATCAAAACGACCTTGAGAATACACAGTGAGCAGAAAGGATGAGCTTTGACTTTTATAGCTGAGGCATAACTACTCTATAAAATGACAGATAAAAGTGCTACAAGTGTATGTTCCACAGAATAATACAAACAAATACTAAAAAATTATCTTTGGACAAAACAAGTCATCACTTAGATTTAGATTTTACTGATTTATACTTGGCAAAAACTTGGCAAGCAGCAAAAAATGAGTCATTAATTCTTTAAACATTTTTTATTAACTTTGCTTGTTTGTTTGTAATTAAAAAACACATACCTAAAATGACATTTAGTTTAATCAAAATTATAGTTACAAAGCATTTAGTATCTAATGTTATTAGCATATTATGTAATCAAAACTATTTTTAAACAAGTAATAAAAAAAGTGAAGGAAAACCTTTTTTAACCTTCCAAGTAGAAAGATAACTGTAAAAATCAACCCAACCAAAATCAGAAACATATTTGTAAAAGTTAAAGTCAAATTATAGGATAATAATTAAATTATTTTTAAATAAGTTTGGTAAGTTGAAAAGCTACTGAGAGTAAGCAATTGGTATTAAACATCAGAGAATTCTGAACATGGACAAGAAAAAATTGGAGAACAGTATTTTATAATATATAAAATATATAATAATTTCTTCCTGATTATTAAGTATCCGGTCTGAAGCATGCAGAGATCAAGTATGTTGGAGGTGTTTACAGAGACAATTACTGAGGTCTTTGTTACTTTTCTCTTCCACACAAGTGGTTTTAGTAGAATTAAAAGCAGTCTATTCTCATGTATCATGAGAGTTTAACTACTTTACATTTAAAAACTTCATTAAAGCCAAAATGTCCAATTTTGTTACCTCCCACCCCAGATCTGGGGCCTTGGATTTACTTTGCACAAAATAAATCAGTGACTGGAAGACTTGACTGTCTGCAAACTCTAGCTGCCGATAGAACTGGCTGAATGGCACTGCAGAGCATGTCATGTGACAGCTCCTGTCAGTTCATCTAAGAGACACTATCCCAAGATTTTCTTTAGGGCTACAGAAATATTCAATTACACATATACATATATACACACATACATTCATACATACATGCACATACATACACATACATATGTATGCAAGACAAATTTGCTTGCTGCCAAACCTAAACATCTGAATTCAATTCCTGACATCCACATGATGGAAATGCAGAGTCAACGCATAAAAACTGTGTTGTGACCTTGACACAGATCCCATATATATATGGCCACTGCCTCTAACCTGAGATATCACATATGTTGGGTCAAGAAGGGAGCAGGTACAAGGGAAAACTACAATCAAATATTTTGCTGGGAAAGATAGAAAAAAGTACATAACCATGTCTCCAAACTCCAATCCCAGGAGAGAAACCCAGAGAATCCCAGAACCCCTAGTGGGAATTCACCTGAACTAAAACTCTATGGAATAAGCAAAGTCAGCATGTGAGAATGTGAGCTAGGCTGAGCCTCAGTAGGATTAAAATTATTAGCTGCAAAGATACACTGAAATCCATACAGGATGAGTGAGACCACTCACACTTGGAAAAGGAGTCCTGGCCTGGATACCAACATCCCATGTCAGAGGTTGGAAAACTTCTAAAGAAGGTTGAACTCTGCTTTTGAAACCAAGGCAGAAATCAACCCTATAGGCAACTTTCTGGATACCCACTGAGACCTTGCATAGCCAGGTCTGAATTACACATGAAGGGAAGCAGCTCTCTTACCAGCAAAATTAAATGCAAAAGCCTTTTCAGGCAAAAGAGGACTTTCCCTGATGCTCTAAGCAAGGAAGAAGTTTTAACTGGTATTTTTTTTTATTTTACTATTTTTAAATATTCATTCTTGCATAAATATTTGTTTTTATTTTTTATATTACTCCATTAAATTTAACACCTATTTCCATTGTGTCCTCTTAAGCACTTCTTTAGCCTACAACCCAAATCTTTCTATCTCATTTCTACTTCATTTTTTTCTTCTTTTTGTCCACTCCCTCCTCTATAGACTCTTTTTTTTAATTTTTATTAATTACACTTTATTCATTTTGTATCCCCCCCATAGGCCCCTCCCTCCTCCCCTCCTGATCCCACCCTCCCTCCCCTTTCTGCATGCATGCCACTCCCCAAGTCCACTAATAGGGGAGGTTCTCCTCTCCTTTCTGATCTTAGTTTATCAATTCTCATCTATAGACTCTTAATTGCAATTTTTTAATGCCAATAAACTTCAGGGTCTGTTTTCCCTAACAATTTCCCAACTTCTCTCTTAAATTTACAATTTTATATTAATTCTTGGTCATACTCAACTCACTGTCTTTCCATAACCAGACTTAGTAGGTAATACCCAAATAAATACTATTCTTCTGCCTTTATTCTCTAAAGATCATTAAGACTTAAAGGAGATAGCTGTATTTAATATTACCTGAGTTTGCATAGTAAGTCTATCCATCAATGGAGTTCCTCCTTTAATGCTCTACAATTGGAGTCGTGTTGGATATTACAACTAATTCCCCCTGAGCACGTGAGCTATATTACATGCCTAATACAGAAGCTATGAGGGGAAGGCATCTTAACCTGCCACAAGCTTTTTGGGAGAAAATTGACAAAAGAATTACAAACTTCAATACAAAAAAAAAAAGGCAATATTAAAAAACACCCACAATTACCTAACCCCAGATATACAAATATTAACAAAGAAACAAGGACCATGAAAAGTCAAAACAACAGGACTCTTCCCAAAATTATCAATTCCACAATATTAGATTTTCCAAAGAGTGACCAGAATGAAATAGCAGACAAATAATTTAAAAGAATGACACAAGATAAGACTGAACAAATTCTAAATGGACATAAATAAGCTCCTGAAAGAATTAAAAGAATGCAAATGAACATGTGGGTGAAATAAGGAAGTCCATACATGTTATGAGCACAAATTTAACACATACAAATACAAAAGAAGAAAAAGATAAAAAAAAAAAAATCAAATGAAAATCTTGGAAAAGTTCACTCAAACAAATTTAAAGGAAAATTGTTGCTGAAGAAATCACTTGCATAATTCACTGAACGTAGAGGAGTTGAGCTGGTACCTAACTAGAGGTTTTAGCCTTCACCCCTCCTGTTCCTGTACTAGAAGGCACCCAGTACATTAACAGAGGAGAAAGCTAAAAACCAGTACAGACACAAATCCTGCAACCTACACTGGTGACCATCTGCAAAATACAGTAGTACAATAGTGACACAAACATTGTGGGAATAACCAACTACTCTGATTGGATTTAAGGTCCATTCCATGAGTTTGAACCCAATCCTGGCATTACTTGTATGGCCCAGAACCTGATCCTGGACAGTACGTGGGCCTAGAGGAAAACCAAGCACTACTGTTCTGCTAAAGGAGTATAAAAACAAAATGACTTCTAGCAATGTTCTGCTATACCCATAGCAGTCCCTCAAATTATTCCATAAAATAAAGGAAAAAATAATACTAGACCATTTTATAAAGCCAGTACTACATTGATAATCAAAACAAATAAACAACAGAAATTCATAAAGAATTTTTCCTCATAAATTTATATGTAATTTTTTT